ACTAAAGAAGAACAAAGACTTGTCGTTTCAAGTTGGAGAGGCAATAGAGGTGTAGTTTGTTTGCACATATTTTGACTCTTAACTGGTTGGCTGATTAGGCGCTGCCTGCCTCCTTTACTTTTTCCCTTCTTGGTATTGCCATTTAGCATTGGATAGACACAACTCCAACACCTCTTTTTGGATTGTGCCATGTTAAATTGAATTGTGCTGAAAAAAATAAAGATTTAAAAAAAAAAAAAAAAAAAAAAAAATCGAGCCGGCTCGGCTTGGCCAACTAAGGCTCAGGCAAAGCCTCTTTTTTTTTTACCGGGCTCGGATCAACTCGGGCCCAAAAGAGATTGGCCCAAAAATGATCGAGTCGAGCCAGAGTTGTTTTTCCTCAGCTCGGGCTCAACTCGGCTGGTTTACATGGCTAAAATCAAAAATATTAAAACAATTAGCCCCAGCCAAATCCAACCAAACCTAGATATCCATCCTCTCTCTACATTTCTCCCGTCTCTGTCTCTCTTGTCTCCCGGAATACCAGGCATCGCGGACACCAGCCCTCAATTGTTTGAGATAGGCTAAATTTCTGAGAACCTTCTTCTCCATTGTTCCAAGGTAGGCTATATAAGCTTTATCTTTTTCAGATAATTTTTTTTCTTTTCCATTATTTTTACTGCTACCATTTTGCTATTTCCGGAAAATTTCATTAAACGACGTCTGGCTGAAATTTGTGTAAGTTTTGTGGTGGGTGAAAGAAGACTAAAACTTGGTTGTTGGGCGAATTTATATTAAGGAAGAGCATGAACAGTTATAATGCATATTTTTTGTTGATTGCTAGTATCATATTCCGATTTTAAGTTAGGATTACTAGGCTATGCTGCATTTGTAGTGGAAGATCAGGTTTTCTATACTTGCTTAAAATGAGGGAGGTTTTAATTAGTTAATGGCAAAGTACAACCTTTGAATCAATGAGACTATAATGAATCATTTTTGTCGATTGACAGTATTATACTACATTGTTAATTTAAGATTGCTAGGCTATACTGCAATTATAGAGTGGAATATCAAATTTTTTCGATGTACTCAAACTGTGTGAACTTCCAATTGAGGAATTGACGAAGGAAAATCTTTGTATCAGTGGCCTCACTATGGTTCATTAAGTGGAAGATTATGTTCATATTGTATGATTCCTCTATGCAATATGTCTGCCTTGTGCATTTGGATTAAACAGAACCAACATATATATATATTTTTTCTAATTATATTTTAGGTCTAGAAACCCAGTGCTTAGATTCTTCTAAGCAAGTGCACTAATTCTAGTCTGTAATTTTTACTTGATTTTAAGGTAACAGTGTATGCTGCTTGGTTCCAATTTGTTCTAGAATGTACAGTCCAAGAAGCTGCAATCTACTTCCATTGGTAAGTCAATGCCCTCAACTGAACTTGTTGCCTTGTTGGCAAATTAATGAATTGTTGTTGCATTGTTGGCTTAATGAATTATTTTTGGATTATCGTTGTAGTAATTGATCATTGATGAATTTTTTTGGTTGAGGTTTGTAAGAATTTTTCGAGAAGATAGATGTCAATTATATTGTATATAAGTTTTATGTTTTAAAACCAGGTGTGGCTTCTCTCTCCAAGCCAGGTTTTAATCCTTTCCCTGTTTCCTCATAAATAAAAAAAGATATTGTTTGCTGCCATTATTTCTGACCCACAAAACAATCTTTGTTTTAACAAGAACGTTCATTTTCGAATTTATTGTATGTTCAATCTTCAGTTTTTTTTGTATATCCAATCAAATTTGAACTGGGTTCTTAATGCTTCTTTCAGACTTCTTAAAGAGAAGACACTGGAGATGTTATCTAGATGGAGACAGAGTAAAAAATTCATAGAAAAGTTCACATTCCTTCCATCCAAGTTACAGTCTTTATTAGCAATTCACATTCTTTCTTCACCAATTGAATTCACAACAAAAGAAAAACCAGACAATTCGTTTTCCAGTAAATTTGCTCAGAATCAACAAGTTTTTGTGGTTCACAAAACAGTCATCCTTACCCCTGGAGTTGTGCAATCAACTCTGCAAAGCTGCTCTTCTGATTTGATTGCTCTAAGCTTTTTCCTGTGGTGTGCCAAGCAACCCAATTACTTTCATGACAGAAGCACTTTTCTTCACATGGTAAGTGTGGTTTCTAACCTTACTACGAGATATAGAACGGTGCGAGGAATAGTTGAGGAATTGGAAAATATTGGTTGTATTGTAAAGGCTCAAACTTTTCTGCTTTTGCTGAGAATCTATTGGTGTGGAGGCAAAGCAATGTATGAACTCGTTATCGATGCGTTTGAGGAGATGTGTAAGTATGGTTACACTCCAAATTCATATGCTCGGAATATTTTTATGGATGTTCTTTTCAAGATTGGGCGTGTGGATGTTGCCCTTCGAGTTCTAAAGGAGACTCATGTCCCAAATTTCTTGTCTTTTAGCATTGCAATTTGTAATTTGTGCAAATTGAATGATTTTAACAATGTTAAAGGTGTGCTTAGGTCCATGTTGTCTAAAGGGTATTATCTCAACTCCAAGACATTTTCATTGGTTTTGAATTGTTTTTGCAAATTCAATAGGTTGGCTGAGGCATTGCAGCTACTAGGCCTGATGATAGTCTTGGGTGTTCCAATCTCCGTGAATGTTTGGAGTATATTAATAGATGGATTCTGTAAGTCTGGGCGGATTGGTATTGCGGCTTATCTACTTGAGAAGATGGTGGAGAGTGGTTGTTCTCCAAACATTGTCACGTGCACACCTATAATTAAGGGCTTCTTGGAATCTCAAATGTACATCAAGGCATTTGAGATCCTTAATGCTCTGGAAATGGAAGGATGTTATCCTGATTTGGTTCTTTCCAATGTGTTGATAGATTGTCTCTCTAAGATGGGAATGTATGATGATGCATTTGAAGTTTTCTCCAGTTTGAGAGAACGACAACTAATACCTGATGTTTACACTTTTGCTTCTCTGATATCAACTGTTTGTTTGTCTAGACAATACCTTCTTCTACCTTTGCTAATCAGTGGCCTGGCTATAGAGCCTGACTTAGTAGCATGTAACTGTCTTCTTAGCTATTTCTGTAAAGCTGGTTATCCAGAAGGCGCTGTGGATTTTTATAACAATATTATAGATAGAGGGTTTACACCAGATAAATACAGTTTTGCTGGATTACTTAGTGCACTGTGCAGTTTAGGTAGGATTCAAGAAGCAGTGAATGTGTATTGTGAAATTGTTCGAACTCATCCTTATATTGATGCTCACATTCATACTATAATCATCAATGGGCTTATAAAATCTGGTAACCCATTTAGAGCAATCAGATTATTCAAAAAAGCTGCTGCAGAGTTTCCACTTGATGTCGTGTCATACAATGTTGCCATTGGCGGACTTATCCAGGGTAGTCAAAAGGGAGAGGCTTATGCTTTGTTTAGCCGAATGAAGCTGATGGATATACCTCCAAACAAGAACACATACAATTTAATACTCTCTGGTTTGTGCAAGGATGGAAACATAAACATGATCAAATCTATCATACAAGAAATGATTGATGGGAATATTGAATTGGACGACGATGCATGTAGTTTAATGAAGTACCTTGGGTATAAGTCACACAACTCTCTTCGAGGATTGCTGCAAAGAAAGGCAGCTGCCTTGTGGAATAATGGATGTGATCCTGGTGCATATGCTAGTAATGAGGATTTTGGAAATGTAATGACCATTCTAGACGATGGCACATCCAGCTGCGATGACCTCCTGGATGCAGTTGTTTCTGTGGGTTGAGAAAAATTGGAGGAAATTGGTTGTTCATTCCGCGAATTGCGTTCCTCTAATTCATAAAGCAGCACAACTTCTTTTCCATGGATATCTAACGGGATTACAGTGGTTCGTTTCGATGGATATCTAACAGGATTACAGTGGTTCTTTAAAGGTACTGCATCTTGCTCTTCACTTATCTCAAATTACATTTATCTAGACAAGATTAGGCTTTTGTGTAAGTTTACTGCTTGGGATGAACTATAGGATATGCTATCCATCAAATCTATTTCATGCTGAACATGCCTGGCATCCTATGTTTAAATTAGTTTGTAAATCCAGAAAGTAATCTAACTCTATTGGCTTAATTTTTTGAAGAGAGTAAATTATCTATTTTCCATCATAAAAAAACCTGTTAGAAAATTTATGATTGTTGTATGTCTGCATAAATTGTGCCTTTGGAGTTGTAACTAAAAGAGAAGTTCATTTAAATTGTCATTTGTTGTTCATAATTGTTAGCTTCAGATACAAACAAGTTCTTATGAACTTTTAGCTTTATCTACTCATTGTCTTTCACAGGCAATACACATGGAGAGACACTTTTTGATATTGATACTAGATTCGGAATTGACATTATGTACATTTTAATGTTTTCATTGAGTTGCTGATGTGAAAATTGTGCATCTGACTGTACAGTTATCAACTAGATAATAATGAATATAATTCTTGAATGACTATTTCGTCTTACTGCATCATCAGGAATGGGCTCGTAAACAGTACATTGCGAAACATGAACGGGGTTCTTCTGAACTGTGGACGAATATCTGCTACTAAAAATTCAGAATTTTAGGTTAGCATTTTTTATTTAAATAAAAGTATCTGACTTGATTGAATACTTTAATTCTTCATATTGAGAATAGTGTGTATTGCGTACATGATATTGTAGTTTGCTTACCACGAATTATGGTATAAATCACTTAGCCTTCAATTTTCAGGCTTGGAGATTATCATCTATGTTCAGAAACTATTTCGCCCATTGCCCCCAGGGCGGAGTTGTGATTCTCATGCCACAACCAAGAGCACGTACGATGGTATGAAATACAACGCCATCTATACGGAAGAAGATCGAAGTTGGTAATTTTTTGTTGATAGCTTTTCTTGCATTGGTGCTGTTCATTGACTGATTTTGAAGAAGCAGAAAGGCTTTTCTTGTGAAGATCCTTTGTTTGGTGCTCTTGATCATTTTAGACAGTCTGGAACACCACATTTTTATCGTTCGAGTAGTACTTGTTTTTGGGTAGGCAGCAGACCAGTAAAACCTTTTCGTGCTTCAAACTATGTATCGCACATTTGATTTTCAAGTGTGTTTGTTTTTTGTTTGACAGTATATGCACAATTGCAACAAAATGCAAAGTAAAGTACAATAATATGTACTTGTGCTATTTCCGTTTCTCTCTCTAGTTGAGGGATACCTGAGGAAATGGAACATTGTTTATGCATAACTAGATGCTAGCAGGACTACCAAGAAATCTATGGTCCAGAATCAATCACAGGTTTATCAATCAAAGGTCTCTAGCTAATCAAAGTAACAAATGAAATTCAATGGGGGGCAAAGTCACAAAGCCCGACCAAGCATGTTCGATATACAGCTCCGGTAGATAGGGCAAGAGAGTATAATATACAAAATTTTAATTCATTTTTAGAGATACCGTCTAGAAATCCACCACCCAGATAAGGCTATTTAATCATCCCTGCTGTACAACAAATATGGGCATCTAGTGGGTTGCAAAATTTTCATGACGCAATATTCTTGGAGGGAGTTGAAGCAGCATTTCTTTCATTCTTTTTGCTCATGCAAATCTTCTCTTTGTTTTCCTAGCCTCTAGCAACTTGTACAAAGCGTGAAAAGGTCAAATCTTTGAAAATTCCATCATGTATGATTTGAGTTGCGAAAAAGTCCAGATAAATATCCTACATCTGAATTGAGAGATTGATCTCGAGAATCCAGTCACAGGTAGGCTAAGAACCTTTCTAATGACAAAAGATCTTCACTTGGCCATGGACGATCTTTTGGAGACAAATCATAGTAGTTCAATCAACCATTAGTTTGCTGATTATTAGTAATGTTACTTCACTCAGTTGGGAGTATCCAAGACAATCTCGGCCAACTGGATGTTGCCACTCAAGCTTGCTGCCTTGTGAGAGGGCATGAATGAAAACCCATCAAGAAGCTCTGTGCACTTCAAACCCCATTTCTCCATTAAGAACTCAATGAGGTGATGACCACTGCAAATTGAAAATGACAATCAAATGTCACACTTAGTTCGAAATGGAATGAAATGTTCCAAAACAGAGAAAATGGAACGAACAATTGAAGCATTACCTTCTGTTGTGATAGGTGGTTATAAAAACAGACTCTGGGAGTTTTTGGAGCAAAAATGTCACAGTGGCAAAAAGATCATCGAAAGCTAAGCAAGGCATGCAACAGAAAATGGTTATTTTAGTTAACATATATGGGAGAGAAGGAAGAATAAACTATATATATATAACAGTTGATCCTACCACTTGTATCATAAAGCACATCAGCTCCAAGGATGATATTTGGGTGTAAACTGAAGATGGGTGCATCCCATACACCCCAAGTGAGTCCTAATACCTACAGCATTAAATGAAACCGAAGTAACTTTACATTATGTTGTATTAGCTTACAAGTTAATTCATTGGAGAAAAATGAAAAGAAAATAGAACTCTGTTTGGTCTTCTACTGTATTCCTGATATTTCATGCGCAAGTATGTAAAAAGGACCGTGTGCTTTTGTGTGTACTTTTTGGGGCCGGGGTTTGCAACTCATGATGCAGCATCTGAGCTGACTATTATGACATGATGTAAACAAGAGGGTCATGATTTACTTTACACTTGAGATTGTTTAAAACGCACACCCTTCTCATATTATCCAGCACCTGCAGGTCCAAGGAATAGAACTCTTTAAAATATAATAAATTGGATAAGAAACAATTTACAACACTATAACTCTCACTAGAGCTACTAAAAGCTGGTATTACAAAATTAGTGAGCAGTGGCAATGTCACTGAATTAGTGCATTTACAGTAGAAGTGTTAGTTCTGAATGTCTTTCAACCTCCAACAATACAAAATACTTAGCACAGAATATTTCTTTACACAACCAACATATATACTCAAGTAAAAAAGTCTATTCAAGCCCACCAAAGACAAAGCGTAGGATTTGTCCATGAAAAACGACATTAGACAGATTACTCTTCACTGAGATATCAGGGTTTTCAAACTCTAAATCTGCAGAATTCAATCCTTCAATCAATTAACTCAACAAATAAGTATTCATCCACGTGGCATTTGACTAGACATTGCCGAAGCTAACAAACTACAAATGGCAGAATATACAGAACAAGTATAAAAACTACTAATTTAATCAAATGATGAAAATCTATTAACAAGGTCATCTTACACCATGAAAATTAAAGCACAAAATTCCGGATAACCAATATCATACCTCCGACCTAGTTGAATCATCAGTCAGGGTTACTTCTGCACCCACTTTAGCAGCAACAAGTCCAGGCAATGAAGTTCCAGCACCCAGCTGTCAAAGAAAAATAAAAAAAAAGTACCAATGTTAACAGCTAAAAGAAGTGAATGAAATAAAATTAACATCAAATCAAAAGAAAGCAACAGGTTGAGTTCAAGCTCACATGAAACTAATATTTTCACCTACCTCAACAACATGAGAGCTGGAAAAGCGTGCCTTCTGTTGCCAAACATACTCAGCGAGAATTCTACTACATGGCCATACAAATAGTCCATACTCTTCTTTCATATTCTGAAAGGAAAAGCCAGGTAAATATCAAGTAAGTAAAATTGCACTATAGTAGAATTTTCATTTTTCTTCCAGTTTTATCTTCGTCGACTTAAGAAAATAAATTTGAAGGAATAAGACCTCGATGATGCTGATTGAAAAACCATCCTCACTATCACCAAAAAGATGCCGAGAGGTAGTGGTAATGTCTTGATTGGACAATGATTTGGTTCCTCCATCCTCTTGTATGAACGGAGTCTGGAAACATCCTAACAAAATATCAGGACCAAAACCTATAAGATAGGGTAAAATCCCACCCTTATTATGAGAGGTGGTTCAGGACTTCTGAATCAATCAAAGAAAGTATTACAATCACTTGTGCAATTCTATCTCTAACTATCTGCACCTTATTAAAGCATAACCAAAAATCAAGTTAGTTGTAACATGTTTTTGGATTTTTCTTCTTCCTCTCATGTGTAGCTTAAACTTGTCCCCCGTACATTTACTGTAATTTCTCCAAAAGTAGTTCGTTTTATATGTGATGTATATTTGTACTTGTAGCTTTTTGATGTGATAAAATTGCATTGCATTAAATTAAAAGTATTTAGTAAGATCTGCAATAATATATAACCAAATAGCTGATCTACTCAATTTATCAATAGATTCAATACAAAAGAACTTTTGTGTAATTAAAAGCAAAAGTTTTGGTTATCTGTCTCTGGCATTAACAATTTAACTTAATTTAAGAAGTATTTAAGTTATATCCAAAGTATTTTAATCTAACAATAATTTAAGAAAATCATCAGATTGATGTAAAAGTTGGCGATTTTAGCTTTCATACCAGCATCTCATAAGTCAAATATGATTTTCGTTTATACATGTTTGGTTACCTCATCCTCTTCCAATTCACTTTCCAGTACCAATTTCTGTTTCTTGATCTTGTTTTCGGACTCCATGGAATCACGCCTGGCTTCACCCGAGTTGCAATTTGGCAGAAGGGAGAAATGAATATTGTAGGGAGAGAGGAATATTGTATGCTGTAGAACTGGTTTTTTCGATCCCCGTAAACCCTAGAATGACAATTCTGCTACACGTCTATATGTTGGTTCACAGGGAAAATCCAGGAATGAATTAAAATTGCAGGACAGGGTCAATTACAATAATTAAATTGAATGAACATAATGCTTGACATATGTGTTGACCGACCCCTGCATGTGAGTCCCGACCTGAATTAAAAAATGCCGACCTCCTTCATGTGTGTGTGAAGTGTCATCCCCTATGTCAAGTATTATATTTGTATAGCAAAACTCCAATTACACCCGAACAAACTTTTAGATTGTTGTACGTGTCAAAGCAATTTTTTAGAGGAAAAAAACAATAGCATGTGAGTGAGAAAAAAAGCAATTTCTTGAGACATAAACAAGGTATACACACATAAATGAAAAAAAATAGAAAACAACGAAATCATAAATTTTTCCCCAAATTGAAAAAGTTAGATTTCGATTCCGACGACTGGCGTGAGATCTCCGGTAGGTACCCCTCCAGCCAAGAGAAGAAAAGGTCCGAATCCGATTGTCTGTGCTTCTCCGTCATCGCCAACATTCTTTCATTGTTGTCCATATCCGTCCGTTAATTAGTAAGTTTCTTACTTTGTTCGGTTCTTTAATTAGGTGGTGTTTGTTTTTTTATTTGAGAATTGATTCTCAAATCAATTCTCATTTTCAACCACACATTTTTCAATAAAATAATATTTTTTATCACATCAATAATTTTTTCTTCTTTCTTAACCACACATTCCCCATCATATCACTATTCAAAAATCAATTCTTCCCCCAAAAATCTCTACCAAACTAACTCTTAATAAGTTTCTTACTTTGTTCGGGTTGGGAAAAAAAAATACATTAATTCTTTTGAAGAAATTCAACATTTTAACTAAGCTTGTGGAAGTTTCTTACTTTGTTCGGGTTGGAAAAAAAATCATTAATTCTTTTGAAACACTTCAATCTTTTAACTGAACTTGTGAATATTTTTATCTGATGTCTTCATTTATGAGCCATTTTAAACATTGGATATGTATCACATGAGTTATGTACTAGATTTTCATTATGTTCTAATTATTGGATAAGCATAGACACTCTGTGGAAGTAAAAAATGTGTTTGAGAATTAATTTTTTAGCTACTTATCGTAGTGCTATTATGGATTACTTAACGTGATCGATTATGTTATTGCAGTCGAAGAAATTATGGACGAAGTGTAAAACGAGTGTGATGATGTTTTGGCGGAATTTGATGATGAGAACGGTACAAACTCCGTTAACATAGTGAAAAGTGAAACCTCATTGGGAGATGGTGTGATTACGCCTAAGGTGGGTATGCAGTTTAAAGATTTAAAAGATATATTTGACCTGTACAAAAAATATGCGTGTGTAGTTAGTTTTCTAGTAAAGAAAAGAAACTCAAAAAGGGGAGACTTTGGAATGTTGAGATATATGACATTAACATGTAGCCGTAAAGGTCAAACAATCGATAATACTAGTAGATCTCTAAAGTCACAACCAACAATTAAGATGGACTATAAAGTCAAAATCTCTGCATCTGAGGATATTTATGGAGCCTAGAGAATTAACACGATCCACCTTGGCCACAATCATGAAACTAATCCTTCGAAATCTAGGTTATTTCGAAGTAATAGAGAAGAAACGCAAACTACAAGTGAATAATTTGACAGGAATTCTTTTGCATAAAATTTACAATTCTACACTTATAGAAGCAGATGGTTATGAGAACATGAGTCGCATGGAAAAGGATTGTCGAAATTACATTGAAAAAATGATATGATTAAGACTTGGAGAATGAGATGCTAGAACAATACAATTATACTTTCAAAAATATAAGCACAGTGCTCGGGATTTTACTTTAGCATGGATTTGGACGACGATTCGCGGTCGAAGAATGTATTTTAGGCTAATAATCGTTGTAGGTAAGTGTATAAGGAGTTTGGCGATATTGTTACATTTGATACCATTTACCTCACAAACAATTATAACATGCCTTTCATCCCTTTTGTTGGCGTCAATTATCGCAGACGATCAACACTACTTGGTTGCAGATTGGTATCGAACGAAGATATAAATATTTTTGTGTGGTTGTTCAGAACATTATTTCAGTGTATGCATGGTTAAGCACCGCATGGAATAATTATCAACCAAGACACGTCAATGAAATTTCAATTCCGATCGTTTTTCCAAACACATGGCATAGATGTTGTAAATTATATTAAAAAAATTGAAGAAATTTAAAGAAAATACGAATTATACGCCTCTTTTTAACCCCACGTCTGATGCACATTTAACTATTTTCGATATTCATTTAAACCATTTGATATATCTATGATATAGTTTTTGAAATGAGCTTCAAAATAACATAGAAGATTTATGGATTTGATTAGCGTTCAATCGTCGAAGAATTTTTAAAGTTAGCATGATATCGAAATATTAGTTTGAAGTAGCCTATTTTGACGCATCGTAACATTTGCTAAGATTGCTCATTTCGTGCGCTGTTAACGATGTAAAATATTAGACCGTGAGCACTTCGAAATGATATTAAGAATGCAGTACTTCGATTTCATTTGATATTCCTAATTATCCCAAAAATTAAGATAAAAACATAAAAAATATAGTGAATTTAGAAATATTTTGGCTTTTTCTTTAAAAATTCTCCACACGTCAACTTTTTTTTTTTTAATTTTTTTACGCCACATAACTAAATTCGAATCCCTGGATTTTTCATGTCAATCATTGCTATGCCTGCACGTTCAGCATTATTCTAAAGATGACGTTAAAACCTGTTAAGAAAAATGTTAAAATATCTTTTTGAAAATAAAGTGCATTTGACTTGCCCTTTTTAAGTTATTTTCATTTTTAATTTTGTAAAATATTGAAATCGTGTTTGATTTGATATTTTCAAAAATACAATAAGGATAAAATTCACAACATAACTCAAAATATAATTTTAACGTTTTGAATATTCTAAATGAAAATTATGAAAACACTCAAAACATGTAAAATAAGTAATTAAATATTTTTTATTTACATGAAATTTTAAAATTTTAAAAATATAAATATAAAATTAAAGAAAATAAATTCAAAAAATAAACTAGATAAATTCCAAAAGTTTAACAAATAAATTTTTTGAGAAAGATAAATTCCAAAAAACCTAAAAAAATGAAATTCTGAAAAATGAAAAAATAAAATAAAATAATAAGAATTCTAGAAAAATAAAAATATTACAAACTCTTATATATATATATAGAAGAATTCTAGAAAAATAAAAACATTTTTTCAATTTTTCAAAATAAACGTGTTTTCTAGTTTCCTATTTTGAGAAATAATTTTTTAAGATGACAAATTAAATGCCTTTTTAGTAATATTAAAGCAGAATATCAAAACAAAAACGAAAAATAATCTCAAAACTGAAAATTAAAACAGAAAACTGAATAGGCCATTATTTATTAGTGAAAAAAGAGTCATTCTCAATGTCATATTTGACAAGATTTTAAGCCTAGCATCTTCTATGCAAGTCCCATTGAGTTGTTTCGCGCGGGTCTACTTGTTAACAATTAAAATGGATCAGACGATTGTGTAAGGGACAAACCTCTTGGAACAAAGTCTCAAAAATGGGTGTTTATTGAATATGAAGATTACAGTTTGGACACGAACAAGATACCTCTAGGGGCGCAAG